TGGACTTTTCAATTATTTATAAACTGTGCAAGATTTTTAAGTCATAATATAAAGCACTGCAATACAACGGCTTGGTTTATACTACATGTAGATACTCATACTGTGATTTCTGTTGTGGAAAATCTTTGGTATTTATTTCCAAGTATTTAATAAATGTTCAGTTACGTTAAAACGTCTAAAATTTGTAGGGCTAGGTTAGAAGTCAAAAATCTGTCATCCAATCCAGAAAACAATTGTGAACTAGTGCAATTGCAAATGATGCTATTCAAAAAAGATAAGTGAAGGAAGAGCTGATAGAATAGATACTTTTTTCCTTAAGCAAATGAGTCAGATGAGTGAAGCATCATTTGGCAGTTGGCCTGTGTGAAGTGTGTGGTGTGCAGACAAAGTCCCAGGTTTCCAGGAGCAGTCAGACAGAACTGATTTTGGAAAGGAGCTGATTTCTGGCTCTTCCACTATGCACCTTGCCCGGAAATGCTTTGACAACTTCATCCACCTGCTACATACAAAATTGCTCTGCTTTTTTCACAGCAAGTGCTACAAATCCTTGAGCAATTTTGAATTTCCTAGATATGGCAATGAACTATTTCCATCCCAAAGGAATAAGACATCTCCCAGAAGAATGCATCTTTTCTGAGCGTACAAAGGGCCCTGCAAACCAGGGGCAACTCAGACCGTAATTATTTGCTATTTGTAGTCTTTTTACAGACCATCAGTCTGCCTGTTCAGTAATTTTATAGGAAGGAGGTGAAGAGAAACAACCTCTGCCATAGGAGTGTCCCTGAGACTGGCCTCCACTTGCCAGATGGATGCCACGGAGTTTTCAGCTAGGCACTGAGCAGGCACAGTGACAGGTTGTCAAGTCATTCCTGTAGGTAGTTTTTAAATATTTGCAGATTGGGCCAGTGAAGCCTTCAGTAGCAAAAAGTGTTCCTGGACCAGCTCCAGTAATTTCAGCTAAAGTTTACCAAAATAGCTTATAAGTGTACATATCAGGACATTGCCCATGACTGGACAGAAATCATTTTGGTTTTCGCATAATTGATTATTTTTTAATTATTATTAGGTGTCAGGTAGTTATTTGCACTGTAACAGGAACTGCAGTGCAATTCAAAATTCAAAAAGCAGTGCAATCTCCTCATTAGATCTATATGACTATCCTTGATTTAAGTATTTTTCCTAACTTGGAAACTAAATATTGTTAGAAACCCTCAACACGGAAAAGAGAAATCAGTGATATTGTAAGCGATAGGAAATAAATGTGTTGATGGAACCCGTATTTGTGTTGGCAAGCAGTCCTGTCAAAAGCACTCTGGCATCTCGCATGAATAAATGCTGACTGAGATAGGGAAGAATTGAACTACATATCAAAGTCAAGAGAGATTACAAAACATGGAATTCAGTTGACCCAACTATGTAGTCATCTTCAGCAGTACCGTGAGGACATTATAGTAACAATGCATGCTTTGACAGCCAAATTTCTAAGATATTTGAAATGAAAAGAAAAATATACAAAATATAAGGGAAGGAAATTTTAAAGACATGCAGCGGAATTGGGCTCTGTCATTTATTCAAGTACAAACTTTGGAAGAGAACTCAAAGAAATAATGAGTTTGGCTTGCTTTTCTGTCATAAGTATGCTGGAATTTTTGCCGCGAGCAGCACGCACACAAATGGATTCCATTTTCATTGGCAAGCATATATGTTAAATGGGTTGTAAACCGTTATGCATATTTCAAGCGTCTGAAATTCAAAGCTTGGTTTTCAGTCAAGCTTGAAAGATCTCACCAGGAAGTTGCTGTAATTTCCAAATGATTTCAAAGCAAAAGAAAAAAGGGTTGCTGATCCTTGGAAAAAAAATCAGATGTGAAATCCTGGACTGAAAAGCTTTGAGGAGAGTTCAGAGAGGTTTAAGCAAATTGGAGAGGAATTGATAAACTGTTTCCAAACTGTTTCACTCTGGAATACTCAGTGGCATTTTTATTAGGTAAACTGTCAATCTACTAAATAGGCTTCATTCAGACTACGAATTCATTTCATTGCAGATAATGAATTTATATTCATTTTTTATTAGGAGAGATTATTTTTAATAGCAGAAAGAATCTTCTTTGCAAAGTCTGCTTTGAAGACTTCCCCATCATCAGCAGGGGGAAAGGTATTCAAAAATATTAATTTTCATGTAGATTTTTTTGTGTGTGTATAAGAAGTCAGTCTAACGATAAAAATGTGATGGATTAAAAGTACATATATAGGATGCAAGAGGTTTCTGGCCTCAAGGGCAGAACTCAGACCTGTGGAAATGAGCCCCAGCCTGGTAAGGACCCATTTTGCCCTTCCTCCTTTCCTTCTTGCACTTCCTTCTTTCTGATTTTTCTGTTTCTGGTATCCTTCTTTGGACCTGCAAGAAATATAAGGTAATTTTAATCTGGAACTCAAGACCTGCAGGTAAATGACGGCTTAGGGTAATAGCATGAGAAATAATTGTAGATGATATAGCTCAGGGTGTGCACCGTGTCGGTTAGACGCTGAATGAAGGAGACCTGTCTCTCATGCCTGGAGGGTTTGGCCAACACCTGAGCAGTGCAGCTGTGACAGCCTGTTTTGGAGGACTGTTACAGAGGCTGGTTGTATTGGTTAAAGCAGTTACATGAGAACTGAGACACTTAGAAAAATGTTATATTTTGTTTTGGTGGCAAACGAAGAGGAAGATTTCTAGTATAAAATATTGCACTTGAATATTTTGAATAATAAAAAGGATGAGAGTAGAAAATTGTTCCTATTTTCCATTTTCCTAGAGATAGGAAATGCTATAGGGCTTCCACTACTCACGTAAACATTATACTGGGAAAGTATTTCCTTAATGCTAGCCTCACCAAAATGTTTAGGACTTCTCTTCATCGAATAGAAGTCTGTACAACATGTTGAGAAATGTGGTATCTATGCTGTATGCATAACTTGTCAATGTACACTCTTGAACAGAAAACAAATTCTAGAACTAGAGGCACTAAACATTTATTTTCCTCTTGGATGCAAGACTGAGTTAATAAAGCCTCAAGCTGGTTGGCCTTCCTGGCCTCCCATGTGGATTTACTGGTTCAGGTAGTCAAGAAATCAGGTGAATCCATGCTCTATCATTCACTGCACGTATGATGTGTCTTATTCAATAGCAATAAGAAATAGAAATTTAAGTTTGCAGTCCTGTAATATTTTTATCACAGTCCAAACAGGCAAATCATGTAACAGCTTAAAGGCCATGTACGAAATGATTTTTATTATTTCACAGAATAATTTTTTTCTATCCTTTCTTTTAATCTGTTCATCTCCTGGCTGCTTTTTTATAGTAGTGAGTTGCTCTATAAAACTAACGTTTCCTTACTGAAGAGCTGTTAAACAAACAGACTATATTGCACACAGTAACCTGCAGGGTTTTTCCTTTCCTGTTCTCCAGTGGTTTTGAAAATTTTATATTCTGTAGTAATTCAGTGCGGGGCTATAAATAACATGAGAAAAGATGGTTCAGGCTTGCAAAACCAGTATCTGAAGTTCTAACTCTTCTTTGAATAGAAATTGTTTTAATTCCTTCTCTATCTGCCCCCACCCTTAAAACTTCAAGATGTCTTGCAAACAGTTTGATGGAAGCCAGTTCCCTAAGGATAGCTACAAAATTTTCATATTGTGAAATCTGTAACAACAAGAAAAAAAGGCTCATTGATCTTTTTGAATTTGTTAGGAGATAATTATCTGAGAGTACATTCTTGAATTGTTTTCTGCAAAGATGAATAATTAAGTTTTTTTTTTTAAGAAAATTTTATTTTGGCAACGTAAGAATCTCATTAAATCTCAGCTAAATCGTTTACATTCTTTCCATGAATTTTATTTGATTCTGATTTAGACCTTAAATATCTTAAGAAGAAACAGAAGAAGTTCTGTGTGTGTAAGTCATGATCATTGTGAGATGAATACTTGCTAAAGAAATAATTCTGCATACCTAAGCAAGCAGGATGGGGATAATGATTATCTCATGACTACCATCAAATTATGGTGCATCCAGTGTTCTATTTATCGTTTTATGTTTCAGCAAAATATAAAATTGTGCACAAGCAATGGTACAATGGTATACACACCAGAATATCCATTTAATATGAGTGATACATTTTTAAGATTTTTATGGTGCATTTCTTTTAAAAATAAATCTGTCATGTTATGCCATACTGTAGTATGTAAGGCTGCAGGACTGTGAAAATATCAAGGTAAATTCAAAAATACTGTGGTATAAATCTAATGCAAGTTCCTTATAAAGAGAGCAGTACAGATTCTCTCTATTCATGTTCCTTTGCATCTTTGAAGTGGCAAGGAAATATGGGAAAACACGCCTAAAACATCAGAGGGAGGAAATTCACTGCTTTTATAAAGGGATAGCCTTGACTGTAGAGTAGCTACGTATAGAAGCCCATTTTGCCTTTAGGGAGATAAATGAAAGGCATGAAATAGAACACATTTTCCTAACTCACAGTGACATGGGGTCCCAGCAGGGAGAGATTGTAAACAGCTGAAATAAGTTACAGCAGTTCATAAACTGCTTAAATTCTGGGGCTAAATCTGGCCCAGTATTCAGCAGCACCAGAGAAATGAGTTTTGAAAATTCTTATTTCTCCTTTACCCCTATGCAAACGGTTGGACAAAAGAAGATGCTCTTGTTTACTAATACATAAAATGCAACATACCATTGAGTCAATTTTATGTGGTCAGTTTTCCAATAAAGAAATCTTAATTATTGATTTATACACAAGTTATCCTTTGCAAGGAAGTGCTTTAATAAAGATATATTTAATAATTCCCTTTATAAAACTTACTGAAAATGTGATGCATAAAGTAATTAACAGTTTGCAAATTCTGACCTCATATTTTCGTGTTATCCTGATTTTTCACATGTGACCTGTTTAAAGCTTTTTTCTATATTCACAGTATGTTTCATTTCCTTTTTTACTTCCTGTGCCCAGCCAAATGTCTCAGCAGACAAAGAGAGTCTTCGCATTACCTCAAGAAAGAAAGAAAATCGGAGCATCCAGGAGTGTGATTCTCAAGACGTAAGTTCAGCCCACTTATGAATCAGGTTTTAATACAGACTGTATGAAAACACTAAGGCCTTAGGCAATTATCAGTGTGACTTACTTTTCCTAATCAAGCTGGTGCGTATATTTTAGAAGCCAGCTATATTCTGCATTGAAGTGCTGAGGAGCAAATGCTCTTTGCTGTGAATTTATGCAGGTGTGCTCACTAGGTTTGTTTTACAGACTGATAGGACTTGTAGAGCTTTTGCAGGGAAAAGGGCAGTAGAGAAGATGTAATTTGATGTTTAACCATTTCGAGAAGTACCTGTAGTCGCGCGACTGGGTTGAAGAGCTGCTGGATCGCAGCGCGGTGCAGAACGCTGTTTACATAGCATTGCCACTGCAAAGCAGGCGCAGCTATCACAGGTGCTTCCTTTGATAAAACAAAACCTTTAGGGAGATTTTTAGCTTGAACAGTAACAGGTGACAGTGTAACAGTTTAAGTAGGTAATCTTGCCCACTGCCAGGCGAGCAGAGCTACAAGCTTCGTTCTCCTCATGACACATCTGACAGAAAGCTAAATCTGCTACTTGTACTGAGGCAAAACTCTCATTTAGGCAGCATGATGGGAGCTGTTAACATAAATCCCAAAAGCATTTATTGTGGCTGGGATTATAACAATACAAATAAAACAGCAACCAAAAAGACAGAAAAAACAGAAAGCGTATGAGAAAGAAAATTTATTCAGAGAATGTACTTTCTGCTGGGCAGTCCAAAAATATAGTGCTGTTTTGACTTTAGCAATTCTGCAGGTGAAACATACAAGACAGCAGGAAAAAAATAGGACAGTCATAGTGGCTCTTGAATGAGATACTGAACACGTTAGCGTCCTCCAAACGTAACAGGCTGACTTGACTTGGAGGTATCTGGGTAACTTGCTGGTAGTGATCATAGCAATGGAAAGCACTGTAAAGAACAGTTTGGAAAACAGGTCTAGGTAAGTCAATGTCTAACAAATTGTAAAAAGCTATATATATTACCCATGTATTAAGAACATTATAAATGACTTCCCCCTGCCAAGTCCTCTAGAAGGGGGAAGAGACAAAGGGAAATTATCTATCTAGGAGAAGAGTGTATGATTTGCCATTGCATCTTTCTTAATGTCTAGAGATGAAGGAAGCTTCAGTTCCTATTCATGAAAAGAGCAGAAGAAGAGGAAAGAATAAGATATAAAATTCCTAAGTTGGCGTTAACTCCATTTAGATTATAACTGAAAGTTTGTAAACACTTGGGAAAGTCACCTAGGAAAGTCGGCGTGGCTGAACTTGGAATGAAAAGCAAGAGGCGACTCCATGTGGCGTTAGAAGTTTCTAGGAGTCAAGCTATTTTTCATGATTCAAGTTAAATTGAAACTTAACTCGTCCTTTTCCCTGCCTACTCCTTCTAAGTAGCATTACAGTTGACAGAAAAAGAAACTAGGTTATACTTCTAAATTTGAATATTAGGACTAGGTTTTATAACATTTAATTTCACAATAAGTTAGCATATTTTAAGACCAATTGTATAGTCCATGGTACTCACATTTCCATTAAACTTTAAACATGTAAGGTGTGTTAAATCTGCATTTGACAAAAACTTCTGTATGGACAAAAAGGAGCAAAATTAGAAAAAACATACCGTAAGAGAGACCTCCATTACAAATTCATTGTGTCTTGCCTAGATAACATTACTTACTGGAAAATCGAGCAAGTAATAGTTTTGTCGGTCCAATCTTGCTTTAAAATATGATGCTATAAATTCATTTTGCAAGTGAAAAATGGGTATATTATATCATTTTCATAGTTCCATTCTGTACACATTAAAAAAACTAGGACTCATACTGATTTGCAAAAAGGTCTCTGAAATTTCAGTATGCCTTTCCTGCAATAGCAGTTCAAGGAATGGCTTTGACAGCTGAGTTACAAAAAAGGTTATTAGGACAGCAACAGTCTGATGTGAAGAAGCTGTAAACAGAGTGATATTTATGCCTATTAGAATCTCCCGTGTAATTAAAACACAAATATAAGAAGACGTGTCCTCTGTAACATTAAATGAGACTTTTCGTCTATGCCTGTGAAAGGCTCATTTGGAGCCTATCACAGCAAAGTTAAAATATTCTGATTTGTCAGAATCACTTGATTTCACTTTGAATACCAGATAAACCTAAAATATGAAAATTTTAAAGTTTTCTAGTAAACCTGGATTCTGATTAAAGAAATGAAAGCAATATTTTAAAAGAGAAACAAAACACTAAAATAAATTTTTTCACAACTGACCTAGCCTTGACCACTTTTTGTCCTGCAGGTTGCTCACATAGCTGAGCAGTTTTGTCTGCTGCTGTTTAAGATGAAACTTTTCATCTTTCTCGTATGTGCACTGTCATTCTCAACGTGGTTCAAGCTTCCTTTCAGCTCAACTATAGCAAACACTCCCCTCCGGAGAACTTCTCTGTGTTTACAATCCTGTTGTTATCTTTTACTCAGCATGTTCATCCCGATTAAAAGACCTTCCTGATGGTTGCAATATTTTTAAGACTGGCAGAATATGTGATACATTGTGCACAAGGAGCGCATTCAGTATGGGCTGCCAGGTGGTCTGCATTTGCTCTGAGCTCTTCCTAAGCACTGTGTGGGACATACCAATAGTACAGATAATGATCTGACATTGGGATAACAACTGCTTCCCACCTTTTCTCATTATTTTTGTATGTTATGTCATAAAATATATACGTTCTAGAGACAAGGAGGAATTCAAATTTAATATTTTTGAATAAGGAACTAAAAATGTCCCTTTTTCCAGTGAATCATAACATGATTATTCCCAGGATATCATCTCAAGTCCTTATAGAATTACAAGAAGTTTCTTTTCTTAGAGGAGGAAATTATTTTCGTAGTAGAAAGCTGTGATTTGCACCTGTGACCACTATCGCTTTGAGAAAATTCCAGACTTGGGAATATATCAGTGTTTTTCTCATGTTTTTATACTTTGTATGTATTTTTTGTGGGTGTTTTGGGGGGGGGGGATGAGGGAAAGGGCAGGGAGTTGTTCTTTTTCTCTTGACAGAAGCTTTTACAGCTGCTAAGATCCTAATGGGAAAAGTATAGCTATTGGTGGTCAAGAACACGTTCTCATGTGCTGTTTGTTTGAAAAAAAAAAAATGTTGAGGCCAAGAAAAAAAATCATGAATATGCTTAAAATTAAGATGTTGCTTAGAAACATAGTTTTTCAGCAACACTCTCTGAGCTCTGCAAATTTCCTCTGTTTGTCTCTCTGATAAAAATAATTGTGATTTATTACTTGGGAGAATTAGTCTAGTGATGTTCACCTATTACAGAAGAACGTACAACATTTCAGATTTTAAGGCAAAAGAGAAAAAAAGGTAAATGGCTAGTTGCTTGTATCAACCGATATTTTTGGTCTATATGACTAACCATCTCTCTAGTTGTATCTAATCTGCTAATCCTGTTGCAATTTTTCTTTATAGCTTTATGTATGTTCATACTAATTAATGTAGTTTATATTGGAATGTAGATAAATGAAATTTTATTTACAAATGGGATACAGACAAACTAAATTATAAGAACTCATTTGGAAATTAGATGCTTCTGGCAGCTTTTCTGTCACAATATTTGACATGGGACTTGTAGCCATAAGTAGGTAGGACATCGTGTAATTCGAAATTCTCATTGCTCATATCATCTGAAATTTGCCCATAAAAATAAGACCATAGTATCTTAACTTCAGTTTTCTTTTAAAAGTTCCTATTACTCTAAAGAATTTTTTTTCCTGGAGGAATCTCATCCATAGTATTTTTCTTAGTCTTATTCAGAGACCTTTTCCTTGTGATTGGCTCCTGAAAGTCGCTGTGGGGAAATCTGAACTCTTATTGATGTATCGTTTCCCTTCTCCCTTGCAAAGGCCAACTACTCTTACCTAAGAATGTAGTTTGTCGTCTTTTCATATCAAATAATCCTTATGCATGTGACACGTGTCATTTAAAACCATCTATGTGGTAGTTATTTCTTGCTCTCATCTTAGATTTCTTCCTCTTTGTCCTTGCAGAGTCTTTTCTGATAAATAAAAGTGATAGTGTTTTTATTTACTGCCTTAATTTCCTGCAGTAAACAAACACTGCATATTCATTAATCATTCAGTGACAAAGGACAAAAAGTATTGGACCAAAACATGCACATGTTCCTAAGCAACCACACCATTTAGCTTCATTTTTCTCTGAGTTTCAGTTGCACAGCTTTGATCACATTGTACTCTCACTTTCCCAAGGGAGCAATGAGAGAAAAAAGAAACCATTACTGTAACAAAATTTCAAAATGATAAAATTCTTAAAATTAACTCAGTAATTCTGTTCCCTAAATGAGGACTACGAAGGTCATAGGGAGTTAAATCAATTTAGTTGAACCATCCACTATGCTCTACAGTAAGAGAGAAGTATGAAAAACTGCAGGAGTGTCTTAGGAAAACACATATGCACACTTGGCATGCATCTTGCAGCATATCTTAATAAACAGTGAGGGTCGTGGGAGATTAAAGTATAGATCTATTATGCATTCATGAGCAGATCTGATAAAATATGTCCTTGAATAAACCTAACTTGGCTAATAATGTTATTTACATTGCAGAATGTTTTTTTGAGAGAGGAACATCTATCCTGTATATTACCGTGCTTATGCCATATTTTTTAAAAAAAATTGAATCATGATTTTGAATTGTGATTTTGAAATCCAGTTTAATCTGGATATGGATATAGTTTGTGTACATTTTAAGGAACATGTTGTAAATGAGCTATTAAAGGCATATTTCATGGAACTATGGGAATTACTGTGACAGGAGAAAAATGAGAGAATAAAATATCAAGTCATATTCAACAGTGGGTATAACTGCATGCAGTACTACTGGCTTCATTGAAGCTGAACATTGTATGCTAGTGCAAAATCTTCTCTTCCAAATTATCTATTTGGCAACAGTCCACTATAGAAAAC